TAAATGCTTGCACTGCTAGATAAAAGAGCTTGTTGACTTTGGTAATAGCCTCTTATAGCTAAGTACGGGTTATCGTCTGGAGAGACAAGGTTAAGTTTCGTCTAACCTTCTTGAAAGACACTGGCCTCCGTTTAGGGTTTCATTGCAAGGCATGATTTCTAGATTACAAATGATCATTGTTGCATGCTTTCCAAACTCAGCATCATTTATTTTAAAGCCTGGTCACCAGAACTGAACAAAGCAGTAGTTTGGCCATTACTGTAGGTAAGAAAAATGCAGCCTCTGACTTCCTAGGGAGTAGCCTGCTGTAGGAAAATAGGTATCTTTCAGCAGTCTTCAGACGAGTGATAATAAATATCATCCTGATGATATGAAAATGAAACCTAGCAATGTGATGGATTAAAAGTATGGAGAAAGAAAAAGATATTTCAATGTGTACATGTCTCTGCTTCTATTTTTCTTTAAGAATAGAAATTGGAGTGCACTAAAATGCTATGTAAGAAATTATGATTAATCAGTGGAAGTGTACAAACTTGAGTTATTTATCACAGCTTTTTTTTTTTTTTTTTTTTTAACAGAACAATGACTTTTCTTTTGCCTCTTACTTACCTAACACTGTTGCTGTTACACATTGTGTTCTGAGTTTGGGTTTTATTTGCTTGAAGTACCTGTTGCTTTGTATATAAAATGTAATATCTATAAATTCAATGTTCAGAGAAAATACTGGTACTATTGCTTGTTACAGAGAAAAAAGAGAAGGATTATTTCCAAATTTTTATAATTATTAATAACTACAATTTTATGTGCTTATCAGCTACCTGTCTACAAATAGCTCTGAATGCAATAGATGCATGTTAACTACTGTTCAAAAATAGCTATTGAGTTTCCTTTATTAATTAAAATGTCAGGATAATTTTATCTCTTTTTCTTGAAGTTGTAGTTTACTCTAGATTGTCCTTATGGACCTTCTGCTGTCCTAGTTCCAGTGGGAGATTCTGACTTCCTTTTGTTTCTGCACTGGCCCTCTTTGAACGTGCCCCATTTCACCTCTGATTTGGTTTTACAGAATCTGCTTTGTGCCTCAGTACATCACTTAGCCCCATTCCTCTGCAAACTCCTAGAAGCTGCTTTTCTGTTGTATGGTTTATAGCTACAGCATCTAAATAGCACAAATGAGGTGACCACAGAGAGAGCCAAAAACTTTCAGCTTCTCTATTAATTTTTTGCTTAATGTGTTTCTTTGTTCCTTTTTCTCATGTTTACTTGCCCCAAGAACATGCCTGCGTTTTTACCTTTCCCCCCTCACTTCTTTTCCACTCCCATGACAAGGTCACAGTAGAGAAGGTTACTTCTTCAGAAGAGGACCTTATTAAACTTGGTAGGCCCTAAATGTCAGTCTAGGATGCTGTCTGGGCTCTTAACCACACATCTGTTGTCAACCTCTTCTGCTCTCTGAAGCAGAGAGCAGCAGCTTTTTTAGCTGTAGTTTATAGCAGGTTTGGCAGATAAACAATCTTTTACCAAACCCTTCCAGTCACCCCAGGGGCCTGCAGATTAGTAGAAAGAGTTCAAAGAGGAGCTTACGGAGATATGGGGCTGCTTCTTTTCACTGGAGAGAGCTGCCACTGTGTTGTGCCTGTCCTGTGGCGGTTCTTGCCTGTCCCAGGCATCATGACCTGTAGATGTTTGTCAAACCAGTGAGCTTCCCCAGCCTCACTGCTGGCGTCTTCCTGATGCCTCCCTGTTCCTACTGACCCTGTCAAACCCCATGGCTTGAGGCCGGCAGAGCCTGTGCTGCTGCAGGTCATGGACCCCCAGGATGCAAACCATTTCCCTCAGCAACCAGTGCTATTTAGCTCTACATTCTCTTATATCCTTCATAGCAGTGTTTTTGCTTCATAATCTCCACTTGTGAAAAAGTCTTTGGTGAAGAAGAGAGTATTCCCCATGACTCCCTGTCACTTATTGGAGATCAGTGGTGGGAGACAGGCTATAGACAAAGTCAGTCTGTGAGAGAGAGAGTACCTTATCTTTGTCTGAAACAGAGCCAGAGACAATATATCAATGTCCATACATATTTAACTCTAAGAACTGACTCAGGATTTGTCTTGCTGAGGTGTAATTTTGGAAGTTGAGGTATGGAAGTCTTTTTTCTTCGATAAAAGTAGCTACTATCAGAAGGCGATTTGTAGCCCTGCTTTACCTGTATTTTTGCTGCTTTTAGAACAGTTAATGCAGTGCTTTGCTGAAGTCTCATGTAATGCTGTTATGTTACCATGACACACATATGAAAATAAAAGCACTGTTGTCAGGGTGATGTAGTCAAATTATTACCGCCCTGTTTTTCCAGTATTCAATTTAAAAAAGAAGTAATTTTTGTTGTTGTTGTTGTTTTAACTAGAAGTTTTAATGTCATTTTAAGTAATGAAGAAAACAATAGCCAAGTGATCATGCACAAATTCATGTAAACAAGGTAGTATCAATTGAACAGATAGCACTGAAAGTGGATTTGTCCTTCAGGTTCTGCTAGGGACAGTGATGAGAAAGGAGGAGAGGGTTTTATAATGATGAGAACCACTTTGATATTATTACTTGAAATAGCTGTAAGCAGAAGCTATAGATAATAATAATCTTCAAACTGTAGAGGTTGAAAGCTCTGAGAAGCCAAGAATGACTGCAGCTGCCTTGAGTGACGGTGGAACAAAGCCATATAGTTGAGAATAGTTTGTGCAGATGAAATATAATCACAGAGTCAAAATGTGCAGTCATCAGGTTTGAGGTCCAAGAAGCAGGTGGTACACATGGCTATCTCAGGGTTTTGGAAGGATTCCCTGGCATCAACCATCTCAAAGAATCATAGACTAAAGAAACAGTTTTGATATCTACAATTAGATAACACGAGGGAACCATCACTTTAAACACAAAATTATTCCTTGTCTGTAGTCTTCTCCAGACATTCAATGAGGCAGATTGTTCCTGTTTTAAAATAATGCCTCAGAACTCAATGCCACTTTTTTTCTGGAAGTGCTAAATGGAAGCTAATGACAGAGAGGAAATGATTTCCAAGTTTTTGTAACTGGCAACCATTAACAGAGGATCCATGAGCTTTTCAAAACCATTTTTGTACATTAAATCAGGGCTTGTCAAGAACTGGGCAAACCAATGTGTAGAGAATGTGGCCAAGGTAGCCCACTGCTCCTGAATTATTTATAACCTGATCATAGCATTTGCAGATCTCTTTACTGTTCATTTAAAAAAAAAACAAACAAAAAACCTGCATTAAAAATTTCACCAATAATGTTTTACTTATGCGTTCCTAGAAGAAAAGAATCACTTTAATAATTAATGTTTTAATAGCCCTGCAGTTTCAGTGGTCACTTAGTGACACTACAGTGTGATGGGGTTTCTTAACTTCTAATCTTAAGTACTGAAGAAATTACTAGTTTTTCTGCCTCAAATTTGAGAGAAAGGAACGTTTTAAGGAAGAAGAAGTGGTAACAATATTGAATAAACAATCTTTTGACTTTTGAGGCTTTTGAATATTTTTATATAACAAATGAAAACTGTTAAATATGATGTATATTGAGTCTGGATCTGAAAGTGCCTCTGTTCCTTCTTGACAAAAGGAGAATTTTGATGAATTAGCAGATTATGTGATCAATTTTCTCTTTTCCATTCCTAAGAAATAATCTAATATATGCATATGTGTATGGTTCAATGCAGCATCAAGTCCAGAGAGCATCAGCTGAGCAGCTACCCTTCCATTTTTCCTTTCAGTTGCCAACTTAAAACATGTGTAGCAGATACTAAGTCAGTGTGAAATGGTGAGCCTAGGCATTGGTCCATCTTCTTTAAATCCTTTAATTCTAAAATCTATTATTAGAAATTAAAATTTTGGTATGCTGTTACTTCAGTCCCTTTCCTTACCTGCCTACTCATGCTGATCTTTAGCTATTCACTGCACATGTGTGTTTAATAATCATTCTATAATGCTGCTTTTTTCCCCATTTTTTATGGTTTAATTATTCCAGTTGGAAATGCCAAAAGATTAAAGAAATGGCTTCTTCATTATTTAAGTAATGATTGCCCATCACTGGTCAGACAAGGGGATTGGGATTCAGGTGACCATATGTCAATATCTACAATTTTGACATCTCTAAGCTAGTCCTCCCAGGTTTCCTTTATAGACAATGGAGAGAAAAAGGCATGTTTAGGATGCATTGCCAATCCAAATTCAGCTTCTAAAATAGATCAGATGATTTGCCCCCTAAAAATGCTGGGTGTAGTTGACTGTAAATGGAAACAAGAGTCACTAACTTAGATGTTTGCTTTGTAGATGTCCAAAGGTAGATGAGCTGAATGCTATCCCTGTGCTCAAATTAGTCATAAATGCCCAGAGATTTTGTGCGATGGCCCTTCTAATGTGAGTGTACTGTGGCTGTGTTTTTTGATGTAAAGGACATACTGCCATTTAGTGCTCTGCATGGATGAGGAAGTCCTGTTCAGCACAAGTACCAAAAGCAGTATAGTTGTGTTAGGACTACATTTCAAATAGATTAAATTGCCCTGCTTTTCACCTTGGCTATGTAGTAGCAGGGTATTAGCATGTCCACATTCTTTCCAGAACAGATCAGTTTGGGGAACAGCATTAATACTCTGATTGTAGACATACAGAGGTGATGTTTAATATTTATGTTGGAAGATAAATCTAATGGCCTTGACCAGATTAAGTCCTGCTATGCAAAGGAGCATATATCATATTACAAATAATAATGCCTGTTCTTGCCCCAGCAAGCTCACAAGGAGCTGGTTTATAAACAATGAAAAGGGACGAACTTTAATGTAAGTAGCACAATTTAGGAATGACATGTGGCAAGGGCCTCTTGAATTGCATTGAAAAAGGTGACAGATGTTGAAAACTGAGACATTTTTTTTAGGTTCTGCAGTTAATTTAGGACATTGCATTAATGGTGATTTTTCCTGTGGGTTTTTCCCCTTAGGATGATTTCCAGCATGCAGCCTCAGAAACCAACTGGGAGTCAGTCACAAGCTCTGTCTCAGTAAGTAATTTGTTATTATTTTGCCCATGGATGGTTTGGTAGGATGGCTTGAATCCAACTCACTAAAATGGCACCTGCACAGAGGAACCACGTATTCACCTTTGGCAGAGGAGAAGCATTTCTCCAACTCATACCTGAGTCAAACAGTGTGTTTTTAAGGAGAAAAGATTCAGGATATGCCATCAGCTGCTGTAACTGCATGAGATAGCCATTGGGAAACATTTCTTGCTTTCAAGCTCATCCTGCCAAGATGAAAATACAAAACATAAACCCCTTACAGTTTTCAATTGTAAAAAGTCTTGACCTAAATAGAAAACTATACTTAAAACAGGCTGGCAGGAAAATGGATCTAGCTCTTCATTATCAATACTGAGATTTCCTTTAAGTGTTTGTAATAAATATTATATCTGATGTCTCCATATTCAGCAGTGAAATGTGACTTGGAAAAAAAAAAAAAAAAGAAGGAAAACAAGTAACCAGTATAAAATTTTAGTTTTCTCTTCATTACATTTGATTTGTGTCATTGGCCAAAAACCTGTCCCATCTTTCATTTCCCGAGTAAAGTTAAGCACTCTGCTGCCTGGTCAAGCACCACAGCACAGGTCTTGTAAACTCCTCTTAAAGCACATGAAATGAGGAGAAGCACTTAAAGCAGATTTGAGACCATTCTTTGGAGCATTCATGGAGAAGGGTTTAGTGATGGTACCTTTCTATAGTAGCTGCGAGGAGTTGCCAGTGATGAGTAAATCACTGCCAGGATCAGTAAATAAAATACAGGTAAATTTTACTGATTAGTGTCCAAGCCAGTCAGCAAGTAGAGAGAAAATTCTGTATTGCCAAAGTTAGAAGAGGTTAAGCCAATCTGACTCATGTCTACCCTTGAGTTTGCAAATGACACTTGCCCTTCATGATACGATGCATTGATAGCCTTGAACTAATTGTGCTGAAAGTCCTGAGTAGTCATGTTAGCAGGGTTGAGATCTACTGGATGTGCCAAGCAGGAGATGCTAAAATGCTGTTTTACTGAAAGCCATAAACTCAATTTTCATTCTAATGTGGAGTTGAAAAAAACCCCATGTGATAGAATATTTTCTTTAAAAATATGGTAGGCTGATGTTTGAAAATGTAAGCCTAGGGCTCCCTCATCAGGTTACTATGAAAATGAGATCAAGTATATGGTAAACGCCATGTTAGTTATGCTTCTTAACATCATAAGGTGCACAGTATGCCAAACAATAATTCTGTATTCCTTTCATATCGAAAAAAAAAGGGTTTTTTTTCACATTTATGTTTTCCTGAAAAGTTGTTGATACTGTGTTACAGGTAGGGAAGTTCAGTACCAATATTACAGGTAGCAAGCTGGTGCCCAAGGTCACATGGAAACCTACAGATAAACCAGAAGCAGAACCTCACTTTCATTGGTCTTCCCATGCCATTCCCCTGTCTAATAAAACATACCTTCTTCCACTGGGCATGCTTTGCACCCACTAGCTTTCTTATCGTCAGGGAAAATGGGGTAGAAAGGTTGAGTAATTTTTCCCAAAGGCACCAAGGAAAAAGTCTGAGGACACCTGAATTCTTCAGGAGAGAAATGTTCATGGATTCTGCTGTGATCCTGAGGGGCAGAAGGACAAGCTCAGTCCTTTCCGTTGCCGACAAGATGACATACTGTTCTGCTGATACTCAGCATGGCAGATCTAAGTTTTGCTCCTCAAACCCACAGGCAACCCAAAGACTCATTTTAGGATCTGGGTACATCACAACTCTCAGAAGGAAAATTTGAGAGTGAGCAAATTCCTTTTTGCTTGTCTGAGGTCATATCACAGAGTCATATTTTCTTTGGGTTTTTTTTTTGTTTGTTTGTTTGTTTGTTTGTTTGTTTGTTTGTTTCTCAGAAAGCTAAACCCAAGACTTTTGCCCTTAGCCCAGCATGACAAACCCAGAAAAAAGGGAAACAAATTTCACTCCTTATTAGGTTATTTTCCATTATTTTTATAGTAATTTTATGACCAACAAACAACTGTAATCCACAGTGAACTGCCTGTCAGCTTCAGAAGGCAGAAAATAGAAAATAATGGGGAAACAGAAATAAAGACTAAGAGCACTGACAAAAAACCCCACCTTTGTGTCCCATAAAATTAAAAATGCCTTCAGTGCTTTAAAGAAATACAGAAGAGGTACATAATGTAGAAAAAACTATAGCAAGAAACATTCATTGCTTCTTGCATTTCAGTCTTCTCTTGCCCTCTCTTTGGATGTGATCTCAGAAGGCAGATTAGGACGAGCACAAGCTCTTCTAAAGCTCGCGCCTCGATCTTGGCAGGACAAAAGAGAGGCAGTTGGGTTGGAAGCTTTGAAGTTGATTTTGGGCTTGTCACATGATGTCGCTGCCAGGAGGTTATCGGAGCTGTTGAAATAATTCCCCTTGACTTGGCTGTCACTGAGAAAAATTTAAGCTCTCTTCTGTGTGTGAACAAGGTTGCACAAATCTCTTGAGTAGGAGCTTTTATATGAAAAGAAAATGGGGAATCCCTGCTGCCTGTATGAGTTTGAAGGGCCCTGCAAATTCACAGCCTGACCTGCAGTTCTGTAATGAAATGCATAGTTGAATATGTGAAAAAAAACTCTCACATCAACTAAGCCACACGCCTAAGGCCTGATTTTTATGCTGCTGGTTCTTTAGCATCCTTGACTCATCTCCCTGGTTTTTGGAAGGCACCCGTGGACTGATGTTTGCCTGTTGGGCTGTAGTCGCAGATGAACCGTGAGCTCCACTGAGCTCTCCTCAGTAAGCAAGTAGCAGTTGGGTGCGCTTTTCTTTTGTAACCTCAAAGATTGCATTAGCACCCAGTGTGGTGCCCACCCACAGCACAGTAGCTCGTGCAGCATTGTTTTAGGTAACACTGGTGTGAGCTTTCCAACTCCTGGGGCTACCGTCTCTCTGATGGTCTCTATTCCAAGCCACTTAGAAGTCAGGAGAGATGCTCTGAGGTGTGCCTTCTCTTTTAGTGGGTCATGAATTTTTACAGCCGTCTGCACTGTGTCTTACTTAGCACTGCGTGGTAGAGGCATTACAGTCACAAGTGGGCCCTCTGAAACTTCTTGCTGTAGGCAATAAGCAGTAAAGTGCAGCTACGCTTTCTTGACCACACTATTTCAATGGTTTCTATTTCTTTCTTGTTTTTAATAATTTGGACTGTCGATTCTTTCAGCAAACATATGCAGTAAAATATCAAGAATTGTTACTTTTGTGATATAACTTACTGTTAAAGACAAATGTTTTATTTTAAAAGACGTATATATTTTAAAACTATTTTAGTAAGCATTGGAGGACACACTCCTGCAAACAAGTGAGTAATTTTGCTCAAATGAGTTGACCTTTCCATTACTACCCAACTGAGTGAAGTTAATCACAAAGATTAATAGTTTAACATATGCATTTACTTGGGAGATGAGGCAAAAAATTATTGTAGGGAACCATTAATTTTAAATGACATATTTCTGCTACATTACTTCAGAGCTGGGTTTTTGTGAGAGAAGAGGATGTTTAGGGGCTTTCCCCCAATATTTTAACTTGCAAGACCAAACTCCAAACAATTGTTGTGCTATATTATGCTTCTTGTTGGACCAAATCAGGTATTTCGATTGTGGTCCTTCAGAAAATAACAGATTTTCATTTATAGTTTTTCCTGCATATATTTTACACATACTATGAGGCTTTGTGCTTGGACAAGGGAAGAAGCAGTATCAGGGTAGTGAATATTGTGATTCTAAATAGCAATTACTAAAAATGTTTAAAGTCCTGTCCAATAAAACTGGAATTGCTGCAATTGTTCTGGCAAAGTCAAGTTGTGCCACAAGTTCAGTGGAAACCAAATATGCTCAGAGAATGGTACTTCTCCTTTCTTGTGGGAAATAATATTTCATTTGGTATTATGGTATAATTGTGAGGATATCACTATGTTGGTAATCCCGATATTAATTGTTACATTGCTGAGATCCAACTATTACATTTTTTCTTGTTTGCTTAGTAACTTGTATTTTTGGTTAAAAGGCAGGAGAATTTATATTCATCAGTGTTGCGTAATATATTTAATCCTTGGTAATAAAGGGCCATCTTTTCAATTCTTTGACCAAGCCAAATTTGTTGACCAAATTGACCGGAGAAGGAAAGACAGTCTAGTGGACTTGTTGCCTTTGTCTTTGCTGTGGTTTCTGATCTGCCTATTCTGGATTTACCAACAGAGCTGGTGGAGCTGTGAAGGCACCACCCCAGCACTCTGAGGCACCTCCAGTCTGTGGTCATGACCATCACAGTGGTTTCAAGAGACATTTCCATTACATCTTTGTATATGTGCAAACCGTCATCCCCTTTGAGGAGTGGGTCTGCATGTTGACATTCCAGCAGCGGCAGTACTGCTCCCTGCATCTCCTTGGGGATGTGCTTAGGAGTTCCTTGGTGTCTCTTCTCCTTGCAGAAGAAAACACAGGCATAACAAAGCCTGGCGCAGCTAAGGAGTTCAAAAGATGGCCCAAAGTAGCTGTTTCAGTCATTAATGAGACAAGTTTCTTAGTAACTGTTGTCAATTGCTTTGAATGGTGCTGTAATTTGTTCCAAGTACACTGAGATGTATGTCACTCTTAGGGGGTATCCTATCCCTCTCCATCAGTGACTGACTCTACGCTCACAGCGGAAGCACTGGATCAGACCATCGCTGCATTTGACACAGTGGAGGATCTGCTCAAACATTTTAACCCGGACTCCTGGCAAGAAGATCTCGAGAATTTGTACACAGACAGTGGCCACCATTATCGAGGCAGGAGCTACCATGACAGGAAGTCCAAAGGTAGGATAAAGAACTATATATGTACTTCGGGGCAAGACCAGGCTATTCCTTCACTCTCTCACAGAAATGTCCATTGGTCAGGTATTAATTCTGGTTCCTGTGTTCCTGTTGGAGCCGTAGGGCAAGCTACCACCTCTTAAAACCAGGAATACATCATTTAAACCTTAGTTGTTTTCTGACTGAGTAGGATCTTGCCTGAGAAATCAGATTGAAAACTGCCCATCTTTATGATGAATTCACAAATAAAAACATAGGCCCATGTGTAAAGGACAGATGGTTCTCAGCTTCACTCTCTTAAACATTGCTTTATGTGTAAGGCATGGGGCTCCTAATTACCTGCACTATCATCCTCCTTTAAATACCCTGCTTAGGGATTGTTCTCTGTTGAGTGAGAAATAATCACTTTTATCACAATGTGCTTAGGGAAGCATCTGGTGCAGACACCTGTATGTGCAGCTGGTTTTTTAGGATGTGAACATCTCACTGTTTTTCATTATGTTGGCAGGGAACATTATTATGGTTTAACATCTTTGCCTGTAATTGAACAAAGCACACATTTCTGGGTTATGTTTCTTGTTTCCTTCTGTTAGTTCAAATCATCCACCAAATGGTAAAGCAGAGGGATGTTAAGCTAACAGTATAAACCCATAATGATAAAGAAACACTACTTAGAAGAGACAGTGGTGCTCTGGGGTAACCATGCACTGAAGAGCCTGATGAAATTGCCCTTTACGTGCAAGTACAGATCTAGGAGGTATCTTAGGGTTCTTCAAGATGACAATTGCTGTAGCTTTCACAGAAGATCTGGAGTGAAATATTTTATTATAGTTCTCTTCTTAACACTGTCTTCCATGTCCAAGTTATGTATTCATATGCACTCTTCTTTGTGACTTTAAAATTATAATGTCCAAGACATGGTTCTCATTCTGTGCCATCTACCATTTATTTGCATCTCAAATTCCATCCCCCTATGTTAAACGTGTGCTAAGCAGGGAGAGAGGATTTTAATTCTGTGTTTGTAACTTACTTGCTATCAAGTGATGAAGCTTTGGTCTTAAAAGGGATATAAATGCTGCATCTGTATTAGGGAAAATAGCATTGAGGAGTATTCAGAGGCCCTGAAATCCAATATTGTTAAATTGTCAGCCTGGTCTCTGCTTAGTTTTGGCTCAGGTCAAATGTCATTCTCGGGGCTCATTGCTGGGCATGAACCAGCAGTTGGCAGAAACCAGCTGCCATTCCCAGTGGGCAGTTTGCATGTGTCCACCTTGTCTTGGAGAATAAAAGGTTAGTGGTAGGGATGCGGACTATCCTACAGCTGTTGACCTTTGTGCAAGAGAGTGACGTTAAGGACTGTACACGCCTGTAGGACTATGATCTTATTGGCATCATGGAGAATTGGTGGGATGGGTCCTATGACCAGAGTGCTGCAATGGAAGGATACAGGCACTTCAGGAAGGACAGGCAACAGAATCAAGGAGGGATTGTCACCCTATATGTCAATGACCAGCTGGAGTGCATGGAGTTCTGCCTGGGGATGTATGAGGAGCCAACAGAAAGCTTATGGGTCAGGATGAAAGGGAGGGAGGGAATAGGTGATGTTACAGTGGGGGGGTCTGCTACAGACCACCTGGCCAGGAAGACCAAATGGATGAAACCCTCTACAGACAGATAGAAGCAGCCTCACATTCACAAGCCCAGGTCCTCATGGTGGGACTTCACCCACCCTGATATCTGTTGGGGGATCAACACAGCAGGGCATAAACAGTAAAGGAGGTTCTTGGAATGCGCCGATGATAACTTCCTTCTCCAAGTGACTGAGGATAAAGGAGGTTCTTGGAATGCGCTGATGATAACTTCCTTCTCCAAGTGACTGAGGAGCCAACAAGAAGAGATGTCATGCTGAACCTTGTTCTCACCATCAAGGTGGTTGGAAATGTCAAACTCAAGGGGAGCCTCGGCTGCAGTGATCATGAAATGGTGGAATTCAAGGTCATTAGTGTGGCGAGGAGGGTGCACAGCGAGCTCACTGTCCTGGACTTCAGGAGAGCTGAAGTCTCTTCAGATATCTGCTTGGAAGAGTATCATGGGATAAAGCCCTGGAGGGAAGAGAAGCTTAAGAAAGATGATGGTTAATATTAAAGGATCACCTCCTGCAAGCTCAACAAGAAGAGATGTCATGCTGAACCTTGTTCTCACCATCAAGGTGGTTGGAAATGTCAAACTCAAGGGGAGCCTCGGCTGCAGTGATCATGAAATGGTGGAATTCAAGATCATTAGTGTGGCGAGGAGGGTGCACAGCGAGCTCACTGTCCTGGACTTCAGGAGAGCACACTTTCGCCTCTTCAGATATCTGCTTGGAAGAGTATCATTGAAGTCTCTTCAGATATCTGCTTGGAAGAGTATCATGGGATAAAGCCCTGGAGGGAAGAGAAGCTTAAGAAAGATGATGGTTAATATTAAAGGATCACCTCCTGCAAGCTCAGGACCGATGCATCCCAACAAAGAGAAAATCGGGCAAAAACACCAGGAGGCCTGGATAGATGAACAAGGGGGTCCTGGACAAACTCAAACTACGGAGGGTAGAAGCAAGGACAGGTAGCCTGGGGGGAATACAGACAAATTCTCTGAGCAGGCAGGGATTATTTGATGTACAGTGTATTAGTGGATATACAGCCACCTTGGCCTACAGTTTCCAAAACATGTTGGCCATCACTATTATTGGGCTCAGCACTTCAAAGGGATCTGTAATAAAGCCTTGAGCACCCATCCATTGCAAATTGAACCCCTTTACTTTGTTCCATTTTGGCACATCAGAAATTTCAGGCAACCACAGGAGAACATGTTTTGTGAAAAACATCACCTAACTGCCACTGCATCACTTCTGAGATCAGTTTGATCTTGTTTAGGGGTCTGTGAAAAATGAGCTGTGTGCCCCTTATTCCCAGGCCAGATTTGGCACTGATAGACATCTATACAAAAGAAATAAAAGGTCTGTTTTGATTTTAATAGAAGGTGATTAGAAACCTGGATCTGCTTTCCATCTCAGATCCTATTTAGCCTAGTACCTCATATGTTTAAATGACCACATTTATATAAAATAGCATTTGCTGCTTTATTGATGCTGATTATATAGGCTACAGTTATAAATCTGATCTTGTAGTGCTTGGAAGATTCAGATGCATAAAGGTTTCTCCATTTAGTGTAAATGTAATTCAGCTTCTTCCATAGCAAAACACTGTCAAAGACACAAGGAGCTTTCCAGTTATTATTTTAACACTCGATTCATTTTAATAGGATTTTTTTTGTTGCTGTTTTGGTTACAGGAATAAGCAAAAAAAGTTTTCTGACAGTTTTTCTTTTGTCTTCAAACTAAAAGCCAAATTATCTAACTGTTAGCAGCCCTCTGGACAAAAGTACTTCACCATAATCAAATCCTTTAAAAATTTCCATTAAGAATTTTTATTTAGTCATAAACTTTTGACAAGATTAAAGGCTTGTTCTTGGATGATCTCAGGAGTAGGGAATAGCTTTAACAAGTCCTTAAATTAGAAATGCTTGGTGGCTTTTAAACAGACACTGTGGATCTCTGAGGAATGTTTATAGGCACTGGGATAACCTTGCAGCAAAGAGAGCAACAGATTATATCATCATTTATTTCAGATATCTATCTGTTTCTGCTTCCAGCTTGGAGTTTATTCTTGATCCTTAGTTAGAATAGCCCTAAGGCAGATAAGAACAATTTGATGTAATCTCTGCCTATCTTTCACAGCATTTTCAGAACATGTCATATAAACGGCACAAATGAATCACTAATGATTTTGCTCCTATCCAGCTCTCTGCCTATACCAAATTGTGTCACAAAATTGTTCTTAAAAGACAGTGTTGCTGAATACCAATTTTGATAACAGGGATATGATATTTAAACGGTATGTTTTCTTAATTTGGCAATCAGTAATCCACAAAGATAAGGATCAGGGTCAAAGAAAGAGGAAGTACAGTATTTTAGCATAGCTTAAACTCACAGAATTACAGAATAGATGAAGTGGGAAGGTGCATTAGGAGATTGTCTAGTCCAACCCCCCTGTTCAAGGCAGGGTAACCCACAGCAGGTTTTTTGGGACCCTGTGTAGTCAAGTTTTGATTACTTCCAAGGATGGAGATTCCATAACATCTCTGGGTAACCTGTATCTGACCAGCTTCAGAACAAAAAAAAACAAAAAAGGTTTTTTAAAATATTTAAATAAGTTTTCCTGTGTTACAGTTTTGGTCCGATTCCTGTTGTGCTTTCAAATACTCTGAGGTCCAGCTTCTTTAGTCCCTCCCATCATGTATTTATACACAGTTAAAAGACTGATCCCTCCCTGGATACCTCCTGCAAGAACCTTAAAATGAAGAGTGTGTTGATTAAATCTATACATATGATAACTCCTTTCCATCTACAAAATCTGATTTCACACCTCTACAACACTGATACAACTCTATTGAGTTAAATGCATTTCTTTCGATTTACACTGTTGAAGTAAGATATTGGTATCAGTTGTGTCTCACTAATAATCACATGAAGTTTTAAATTTCATTCTACATATGTTCGGTGATGTTTGCTGTTAGCCACTGCAGTAGAAGTCAACTACAGAATCACAGTGAAACCCAGACTGGCAGAAAAGGACAAAATAGAAAGGGGGAGATGATACACATTCGCATTTTCAAAATCCTTAAATGAGAGGCCTTGTATAAACGATAAACTTCAGTGTACACCTCCTACACAAAAATATGACAAGGAGATTTTTCAAAGAACCTTTGCAGCAGCTGTAAATGTACTCAAAAATGTTTGCTAGTTATTGCTGCATTTATTTCAGATATCTATCTGTTTCTGCTTCCAGCTTGGAGTTTATTCTTGATCCTTAGTTAGAATAGCCCTAAGGCAGATAAGAACAATTTGATGTAATCTCTGCCTATCTTTCACAGCATTTTCAGAACATGTCATGTAAACGGCACAA